CATTCCAAGACCAAACTTTGTGATGGGCGGCCAAGGTTGCCTCGGTTTTGCTAATGTGGTCTTTCTTATTGTTCGAGAATAATTCCTATCCCGAATCTCCCTATCTACCTAAACAAATGACAGATGACCTTTCATCAAATAAGTCCCTTCGCGGCAAAGATACGCGTGAACAAAACGAATTTACAGTGTAAAACCATAACACTCACAACCCCAGAAGAAAACATTCTTCTCATTTCACCATCAGCATCCAGCAGACGGGTATCAATAGTCAAAAATTTAATGCTTGGTGATGCCGAAGAAGATTTTGATGCAGCGGCCGATCCACCCTCTGCTGATACATTTGGTGACGAGCTTCCAAATCTATATTGAACCAGCGTGTCTGCTTTAATATGTGAAACTTAATAATGGAAAATATATGTATATATATGAATGAGATCTATGCATTACTTGTCCGAGACTTCTCTGATCAACCTTTCTAACTCGGTATCACTCATCTCTTCAACCTTTTTCCCTGTCTTTGATTTTTTATCCGGTTCCTCTGCAACATTCTTTGTGGAGGCACCCTTATTTTTCTTTTTCTTCTTCTTTTTCGAAGGTGTTGTTGATACTGTTACCACCGGAGGCTTAAAATTTATTAAACATTTGCATAGTATATATATATAAGTTAGACCTATCTGATATAAGATTTATGTGAAGACAGATTATGCCCATTAGCAAGCCAACCTTTTCTTGAATTTTATCTTCATTTTCTTCAGAGTTTTGATCCTCGACGTCATCATCGTCTTGGTTGAGCTGTCCATTGAAACATGAAGAGCGGTTTATTATCTTTTTTCCTATTGATTACGTGCAATAACAAATTTTTTACCAAATCAAACAAATTCTTTTTTGGAGGTTCGTGGTCAGATTCCTCTTCCTCTAGCACCTCACTTGAGTCAACAGCATTTTTACGTTTCGAAGCGAGTTCGTACTCTTTATTTATGGCTTTTCTGAAAGCTCGTCCCGACATTTATAAATTTTTTCGAAATTAAAAGTTAATCGATCAAAAATTTTGGTATAAACATATAAACATAATGGGAAGAAGATCACTCAAACATCCAATCAAATTTACAGATGCAGATGTGCACTGATTACGTAAAGGGAACACCAGAAAAATGCTAAACTGCTTTGGATTCGTTTCCATCATCGAACAGGTACACATATACGTAATTCGTTATTTCGAAACATTTGTTAGTCCCCCACGCGAGATAAATTTTTATAGCGTCATCATTATCAACTGAATAATCGCTGTAATCCTCATGCCTTCTCACGAGACACCATCCTAGTATTTATTACTTACCCGTGCATTAGTTTTTCCGTATTCACGCAGATTTATTTAGTGACACGTGCGGCGCCTTAAAAGTTATCATAGGATGCCAGAAACTAATCCTCATATAAAAATTTCCCTTTTCTCTTTTCACACAGCAAAAAAAAAAAAAACTCAAACTCGTCGAATTTTGGTAATATTTTCTTGTGTTTATGATTGAAATTTGAATTCACTTCCTCTTTCATTTAAATTTCCGTTGTACGATGCGTGCTCACAGGTTGCTTAAACTGATTAACAAAAGGCTGCCGTGTGTCGATTAATTTGATTGAATGATGTCGTTTATATTTGGGATGTTGACATTCAATAATATCAATTGATAAATATTTACAAATTAATACTATTTTAACCAGTCGTATTTGACCGTTCGTTAAGCATAACTCTAGTTGAAATTTCTCTCATTTTCTATCCATAAAATCTTTCCCCTTACTCCTTAATTCCATCCAAAGGGAAGCCGATTGTGTGCGCATCGCCGTTGACTTTAAAACATCAAATTTTCCAACTGGCTTTCTTTTTTCCTGGATTTCGCCCTCACATTTCCATATTTGCATAAATTTTCCAACTGGAAATCCGCTTAATTTCTTCCTAATTCAACGAACATCAACCTTCACATTTTTTTTGTTTCTGTGTATGCATAACAGCCTGCAGGCAATAAACTTTAATTCTTTTTTGGAGTTCCCTACGTGTTAGAAACCTTCTTTTTTTTTTACCTTTGGCTAATGCCATTCAAGCATTCTTGTTGTATCCATCTCTCTGAGTAAAGAGAAAATTCCCCAAAATCCCCAAATTAGTCTATTTTCTTATTTGTCATTATTGAGACCAAATTCATCATACTTCGCCGTACTACCTTTTTCCTTTAAGGACACTTCCCTTCTTTATTCATTTGCGGAAACCGCATAATATGTCCATACTTTCATCGGACGTCTGGGTCGAGATAATAGATCCGCATACAAATAACGTTTTTTATGCCAATCCGGTAAATCTTTGCATCCTGATTGACAACATTCGTTTCTTTAATTCATGTGTTCATGGGTTTTTCTCCTTCCTCAATTTTAGCAAACAGGAGAGTGCGCCTGGGAAAAACCAGCAAATATAAAATTGTATGTGTGCACATACAAATGCG